TCACCCCCTCTCCCTCCTTCTCTCCCTCTCCTTCCCTCCATTCCCTCTCCCTCCTTTTCCCCCTCCATCTCCCACCCCTCTCCCACCCCTCTCCTTCACCCCCTCTCCCTCCCTCTCTCTCCCTCTCCCTCTTTCGAATATATATGAAACCACCATTGCTCTATCATTCCCAAGATTCTGGCCTCGTGGATGAGACTCCCGGGAATATGCAGTAAAACTCTCTCTTTATCGTAAACTCTCCGGTTCTCAGAATATTCGTCGGCGGAGGAGTCGAGCAATCGCCGAGATTCGTGGGTCCGGGCAGGATTCGTGGAACAGATTAGGCGAGGCTAATGTACTTTGGTTCGGGCTGTTTATTCGTTCTAATTCTCTGGCTGTGTCTATCGCTTGTCTGTCTGTTTGTTTGTTTGTTTGTTTGTATTTGTTTGTCTGTCTGTCTGTCTGTTTGCATGTATGTTTGTTTGTCTACCTGTTTGTCTGCCTGTTTGTCTGTCTGTCTGTTTGTCTGTTTGTGTGTTTGTCTGTCTGTCTGTCTGTCTGTCTGTCTGTCTCTCTCTCTCTCTTCCTCCCTCCCACCCCTCTCTCCTCTTAAAAAAATATATATATTATTATTATCATTATATTATCATTATCATTATCATTATCACTTTCATTATCATTATCTTATACTTACCATTATCCTTATTACTATCATTATCATTATCATTATCAGTATCAGTATCAGTATCAGTATCAGTATCATTATATATATATATATATATATATATATATATATATATATATATATATATATATATATATATATATATACATAGAGAGAAAGAAGAAAAGTGAGAAAAGAAAGAAAAAGAGAAGAGGAGAATGAGAGAGAGAGAGAGAGAGGGAGAGAGAGAGAGAGAGAGAGAGAGAGAGAGAGAGAGAGAGAGAGAGAGAGAGAGAGAGAGAGAGAGAGAGAGAGAGAGAGAGAGAGAGAGAGAAAGAGAAGAGAGAGAGAGAGAGAAGAGAGAGAGAGAGAGAGAGAGAGAGAGAGAGAGAGAGGAGAGAGAGAGAGAGAGAGAGAGAGAGAGAGAGAGAGAGAGAGAGAGAGAGAGAGAGAGAAAGAGGGGGGAAGAGAGAATAAGAAAGAAAGAAAGAAAGAAAGAGAGAGAGAGAGAGAGAGAGAGAGAGAGAGAGAGAGAGAGAGAGAGAGAGAGAGAGAGAGAGAGAGAGAGAGGGGAAGAGAGGAAGGAGGGAGGGAGAATGAGAAAGAAAGAAAGAAAGAGAGAGAGAGAGAGAGAGAGAGAGAGAGAGAGAGAGAGAGAGAGAGAGAGAGAGAGAGAGAGAGAGAGAGAGAGAGAGAGACAGACAGACAGAGAAAGAAAGAGAAAGAGAAAGAAAGTAAGAAAAAAAACGAAAGAGAAAAAATAAATAAGAATAAGAAAAAATACAACGAAAGCGATAGAGCGTTCAAGTAATGCTGAAAACACCTCCCATGACCTTTTCTGACCCCCATGACTCTCAGGTGCCACGGCTGTTCATACCTGTTCTTCGCGGCACACTGTCTCTCTTCAAATGCCTGCCATGGCCGAGATCTAAATTCCTATCAAAACATTCGATTTATCACAAGACTTAATTAAATAAAGTCTATCAGTTTATCTATGTTTTTTCTTTTTTTTGTTTTTTGACAGAGCTTTTTTAATGACAGAAACTGGGGTTAAATATCACTACAATTCTAGAAATAGAAACACTAGAACACAACAAACAAGAAAAGAAAAAGAAGAAAAAGTAAAAAAAAAAAAAAAATCCTCGGGTTTCAAAAAAAAAGGAAAGTGTGGCCGAAAGCGTCTCATTAGCACAAGGTAAGTTCGTCAGCTGATCTGTTTGGTGAAAGAAAAAAGAAGAAAAGAGAAGAGAAGGAAAGAAAGAAAATTACAACAAAGCATTTACTGAATGTAGTTGATTAGTTAACGATCGAGTGAGCTTAGATATTGTGTTTATAAACTAGCTAAATAAATCTTCGTTGACTGCTGTCTTGAAGAAAAAAAATGTTTGGTATGAGCAAAAGAAAGATAAAAAAAAAACGTGATTATTTGACCATTCGGAAGATAGAAAGAAATTAAATATTAATCAGAATAACAAATTTATGCTTCTTATGCTAATCAGATATATTTTTTAAGTTGGAAGGATAACAAAATGATTGCAAAAATATCCAGTCTTTGTGGTTTCGCCAACGCCTTGTGTTGTTTACGTCATCAGTTAAACTCCGCCCTGAAACCAAATCTGATACTCGTTGCTTGAATATTGTGTTTATTTGTTTCACCGTAAAAGCCTAGCCGTGTTTATATCTGATAATGGAATAGACATATTGAGAAAGAGAGAGAGAGAGAGAGAGAGAGAGAGAGAGAGAGAGAGAGAGAGAGAGAGAGAGAGAGAGAGAGAGAGAGAGAGAGAGAGAGAGAGAGAGAGAGAGACAGACAGACAGACAGACAGACAAACAGAGGTTCTTGACCTTGCTAAAGTT